GGCTTGGTCATCAGGCAGTAGGGCAAACCCCTGAGAACGACACCCTTTCTTGTCAGCTCTATCCTGCAGCTGTAAGGGCTGTTGCCTGATTAGCTGCTCTTGACTTTAGGCTGTTTGAATTATTAGGTGCTGGAGAGATCAGAGCTCAAGGGTGACCTGGGGACATTTAGTAGACAACATCAAAGCCGGGGTCCAAACTGGAGGATAATGGTCAGAGCCTGAGGGTCTGTGCTCTGTCCTAGCCCAGCAGGTTTAGGTGAGGAGAGAGTCATAAAAATGCCTCTGTCTTTTCCAGACCATTTTCCCAGAGATCCCTGAAGGCTAGTGGGGGTGGGGCTTGGAATGGGGAGGAAGAAGTGTGGTGCTGCCCACTTTATGATCAAACAAACTTTGTCTGAAGAACGACCTGGCTGATTGCACAGATGGAGAGCAAGGCACCAGGCTGAGGAAATCACAGGGGACGCAGTTGTGGGATGGACAGGGCCCTGAGAGACCACATCCCGACTAAGGACTCGGGCCTGAGGTGATTTGATTGTGAGCTCAATGCCTATCTTGGGCCATTGCATAGGCTGATTTTGAACAGAACAGAAATAATGGTTCTCTCTCTCTCTCTCTCTCTCTCTCTCTCTCTCTCTCCCTCCCTCCCTCCCTCCCTCCCTCCCTCCCCTCTCCCTGATTTGGCTAAACTGGCTAACCAATGAGGCCCCAGGATCCTACTGTTTGCACCTTTTAGGGTGAGAACCATCCGAATGAACTCCAGGGAAAGCACAGCAAGCCCTTGGCTCCTGAGCCATCTTCCCCCACCCCACCCCACCCCCACACACTCCCACTACAGACAGTGGTAATGCAGGTGGCTTCCACAGGAAATACCAAGCACAAGCTTACAGACAAAACAGTTCCTATGAAGAGTAAAATGGGACAAACGGAGTTTGTTACATTTAATCAGAAGAAGGGGGACTGGAGAGATGGCTCAGTGGTGCAGAACTACTCTTGCAGAGAGAGGACCTGGTTTTGGTTCTCAGCACCTGAATTATGCTCATTACTGCCTGGAGCACCTGGTCCAGGAGGCCCAACATCCTCTTCTAGCCTCTGGGAGTTCCTACAAGCATGTGGGGCAATATTCTCATGAAGGCTTGCACACACATAAAAGTCAACAAAGCTTTAAAAATAAGAAAACACAATAAATCAGGAAAGGGTCCTCCTTGCCACAAGTATCGAGTAGGGGTTGCTATTGGAGATAGGAGTGCAGTAATGACTGACTTATTTTGACCTCAGTGCTGGCTATGTTCACTTAATGAAAATCCACTCAGCCCTACACTCAATTTGTTTGCTTTCCCTATGCATGCCATATTAAATACCATTTTCATTAAAAAGTTGTCAGGTCCAAAACACTGTATATGCAAATAAATAAATATGTAACAGTCATCCTAGTTGAGAAAATGTGGGTCTTACTTGGTTTTAAAGCAGAAATCTAGGAATACGTCATTCATCTCACCATCTGGAGTTAATTCCTTAAATGTTTTAGTGGATTTCCGTCCCATTCTTAAAAATTCTTTTTTAATATTTATGTACATGTTTGTGCACAGGTACATGTATGCAGGTGCCTGTAGAGGCCAGAGAGGGTACTGGGTGTCCTGGATCTGGAATTAGAGGTGGTTGTGAGCTGCCTGCTGCGTGTGCCAAGAACTGAACTCAGGTCTTCTGCAGGAGCAGTAAGGGCTCTGAGCCCCTGAGCCATCTCCCCAGCCAGTCCTTCTCACTTTTTTCTAGTGCATGATGCTGTGTGTGTTTTTAGCTTTAGTAATAGTCTCATATGTAAACATTACATGCACTTTAGAAAACAGTCCATGGCTAGTACACGTCTGCTCCTGCTCTTGCTAATGACTGGGTTCAGGATTCCATTCCTCTTTCTGGTCAGTGACACTCCATTGTCTAGACGCAAGCCCACATTCGCTTCCCTATCCATCGGCTTCTGGCTCTGTAGGCTGCATCCGCATCTTGGCTATCGATGAGGCCTGTGTATGCACAGGCATGCGGATTCCATTTCCTTGGGCCATGAGCTGGTGTGTCCCTGTGCGTCATGTGGCAGAAACCTCCATACTTGCTCGACATCGTGACTGCCCTGAATGATTCTCACCAAATGTATTCACAAGTTTCTTTTCCTCCACATCCTCTCCGGGATTTTATTGTTCGTTCTTTCTTTTTTGTAATAGCCATTTTAACTGGAACAAGTTGATACCCTGTCATAATAAATAATAATAATAATAATAATAATAATAGAGTTCTTTATGTATTATGGGTGTCTGTTGTCTGTCAGCTGAAGCGCTGGCAAATACCTCCTCCATTCTGTAGTCATCTCACGACTGTCCATTGTCTTCTTGGGACCCCACCTTGCAGTGGCAGCCTTTTCCTGTGCTGTCTGGATCCTCTCCAGAGAATCCTGCCTGTGCCAAAGTCTCGGAGTGCGTCCCTTCTTCTTGAAATGTCAGTTTCAGATCCTCAGGTCTTTGATCCATTTGGGGTTGATTTTTGTGCTGAGTCAAAAGGATTGGATTCCAGTTTAGGGGAGGGGATTTTTCGATAGTCCTCAAATAATGAGTTTTCTACTCTCAAATAAAACAAAACACTGGTTTCTGGTGCTGAGCTCGGTGGTGCCTCAAGAGCATGTGACACTTAAAACTTTGACATGAGCCATCTGCACAGGCATGCTTGCATCTTACGTGAGCTGGCAGTGCTGGTGGCATAATTTCTGGTGTTTGGCTGCACTGGGACAAGTAGCCTAGCAGAGCTCTGTGGGTAAGAACTCTCTCCATGAGACTTGTAAGAGCCACAGTCAAGAGATCAAATAACCCGCTTACTCTCGGCCCTACAGCAGGCCTGGTCTCCATCAAGCAGGACGTGCCAAGCCAGTCAGGACATAACTTCCCTGCAGACAGCGGGGCTATGAGGCAAGCCATAAAATGGCCTAATCTCTTAAAGCAACACGAACTGTTGGCAAGAGCATAAGGAAAAAACAGCATTAGCCAAAGGCTAATTTTCTTCTTGTTTTAGATACCTCTTGACTGCCTGCAGAAACCAAAAGGGGAAAAGTCCTGCTGATACTAGTGGGCAGCGAGATGCACAAATAGCCTTGTAGCTACTAGTGACAGCCACTGACTGAATGCTCTTCTGCAAAAGAGAGTTTTATATTTAATTGCTTGACAAAGCTTTGTGCTCCTAAGGTACTAGTAGTATATCATCCGATGCCATTCATATCCTATACAAAAACCCAGTAGACACTTGAGTATTTCCTACAAAAGGTTTTCATATAGGGAATCAAAGGCTAATAAGTTGTAGTAAGGGCTAGAGAAGACTATGAATAGTGGTGACAACTATCATTGGAATATGAGGAAATGTCACAATCCTTACATTCGAGACATGTAGACTATATATCTCAACTGAGGACAGCAAGCAGTTGCTATAACTGGCACCATAACTATTAGCACAACCAATTCTGTCACTCTTGAAGCTGGTGGCCCTCTTGGATTGGCTTCATTACTGTCAAACTCTTTTGAAAGAAGACTTACTGTGTTCTACCTTCCAAAAATCTCACAAGAAAGATCACTAAGAGGAATTTATTTCTACCTGAGAACCCTAGCTGCAAGGGAGTCCAGGAAACTTTTCAGGCAAGCAGCATGGATTGAGAATAAGACTGTCTTCCATCTAGGCTTCTCAGTTGAGGTTAAATTAAGTAGGTAAAAGCCTGGCAATGGTGGTTCATGCCTTTAATTCTAGCACTTGAGAGGCAAAGGCAGGCAGATCTCTGTGAGTTCAAGGCCAGCCTGGTCTACAGAGCGAGTTCCAGGACAAGCAGAGATACACAGAGAAACCTTGTCTTGGGGAAAACAAAACAAAAAACAGACAAACAAACACAATCAAGTACACAAGCCATTACCTGAGCCTAAATTAAGGGATTCTGAAGTCTGACCTTATCCTCTGCTTTCTGGGGAATTAAGAAAAAAAGCACTTTGTATTTTAAGCATTTAATTATCTACAATTACATCAATTAGGTTCTTATCAGAACTCAAATTAAACTGCTGTTGGGGGCTGTGGACTCCCAGAACCTGAATTTCCTGTGCCAAAGTAAACAGCTTGTTTTTCCTATGCTTGCAGCTGCTCTGAGCACAAGGCCCTCATCAGGTCCTGATAGCAGGGGAGCGGATTCTGGTGGGTTGCAGCTGAAACTCCAGAGAGCTAGGGCATGGCCATTGGTCAAGGAGACTTTATATAAGCTGCCCTGGAACACAATAAAGTGGGCGTTCTTGATTCAAGCTGGCATTCTTGGGAAATCCGAGGATGACCCATGCCTCTGTCTCTGTGTGTGTGTGTGTGTGTGTGTGTGTGTGTGTGTGTGTGTGTGCGTGTGTCACTCTCAAGGCCTTTGCCCGGCTTGTGAACCGTCTGTCTTACCTACAGGTGTAGAACCATAGTACACGTAGTACAGGTGCTACAGCACCATAGCACAGAGCAGGTGTTGCTTTATAAACTGCCACAGGATCACCCTGAATTTCACACAGACAATGCATCTTGGTTGTGAGAAACTGATTGTTTTCATATTAGTAGAGATAGGATAAAGACAGACACAGTGAGAGGAATAAAAATCAATGTGACTGGCATGGATCAAGCTTCAGATCAAATCTGTTTTCACCTAGGTGTCCCCAAGCCATTCTCCAGGGGTGACCATGGCGTGATACACATAACTAAGCCTCACTGACACTTGGGAGCTAGGTCCTGTGCCTAGTGCGTCACACAGATGAGTTAATGTCATTTACTCAATGAGTTAAAGAGGCAGTGCTCTCCTTTGAATTTCATAAGCAATGATATTGAGTCTCAGGTCAAAGGAGATGCCCAAGGTCACACTGCCTGCCCATGGGAAAGCAGAGCTGGTATCCAAGTCTATCTCAGATTACATTCTGAACTTTTTAACCCCGGGCCGTGTGCATACCTTCCTGACCACTTAGGTTCTAGAAGCTTCTCACGGCCCTGAGGAGTTAGATCCGTGGAGGGATGGCAATGACTGCAGCAAGGCCGTGGTGATGGCTCTGGAGCACTTGAGCAAGCTGGTGCCAGGAGATCGGGAGCCGCATGAGACCAAGGCATCTCTCAAGCCAGTGACTCCTGCCAGCTCCGTCATAAAACCCCACCCTTCAAACCCATCCCGCTAGGCCCGGGACAACTCCTAGAACCACACTGTTCCAGATAAAGAATCTTTGCTAGCCCAGCCCTGCACAGACAATGGTAGCAGGAGGGCCGAGCCCAGGCCCTGCCAGCCTCGTCAGCTTTGGCACTAACATGGACAAACCCAGTCTTGCCAAGGAAGCTGCTTCTTACCGTGAACGGGCATTAACACACAGCCACAGCTGGACAAGGCACTGAGCACAAGGGACTTCTGGACACTCAGAAGCGGGATGTCTTCCTCAAGGCCCTCCCTCAGGGCTCACGGCTCTATGCAGAAGAGACAGGAAGACTATAAGAGCCAGAGGTGAAGGTGACCCCAGGACACAGTGACTCCGGAAGCCGCAGGACTGCTGCGCACGTGAACTCAGGAACCGTGGCAGCACACACGTGACCTGCACAGGTTCCAGCACTGAGAGTGGCCCATGAGCAGGAAGCCCCACCCCTTCCCAAGAAGCTCTCTGTGGTTGATACCCACCAGCAAAGGGAAAACTGGCTTTCCCCAGTGGACTCTCAGTGTGTGTATCCGCAACACTCCAGAGCAGACCCACGCCCAGGAGTAGTTAGCCAACACAAAGTGAACTCCATGGTTTTTCTGTGCTGTTTGTTTCATTTTGGTTTATTGGTTTTGTTTGTTTTTGGTTTTACGGTTTTTTTTTTTTTGAGAGGAGAAATCATAAAGTTGGGTATATAGGAAAATGGGAAGGGTCAGAGAGGAGTTGGGGGAGGGGAAAACATGACAAAAATGTTGCATGAAAAATTTTGATGAGAGACAGAGAGAGGTCCCATAGCCCAAATGATGTGCCAACAGTACACACACACACACACACACACACACACACACACACACACAGGAATTCCTCCACATCTGTGGCCAGCTTGTGAAACTGGATAATGGTCTATTTCTTGAGCTGGGCAGTGTTGACCTGGCCATATTGACACAATGAAAATTCTCTGAACTCAATACTTCCATTTCTACATCTTTATATTATCTCAAGTTTCCAATTGAAAATTTACTTAGAAGACATAGTGTCTGCTGGACTGATCCCAGGACCAGGAAACTCATCCACATTGTGTTTGAAAACTCTCTTCTTTCTAGACGAAGAAGTTGAAAAACATCCCTGCCCAATTACAACCACCAACTCAGCTTGAGTAAGCACAGTGAAAGGCAAGGCGGTCTGGGAAACCGTGGCAGAAGCCATGACATTACTTCTCATGCTTTTAGAATGCAGGGTTTCCCTATCTATCTCCGTCCCTCTCTATTCCTCTTTGTCTCTCTCTGTGTGTGCATATGTGTGTGTGAGAGAGAGAAAGACAGACAGAGAGAGAGAGAGAGAGAGAGAGAGAGAGAGAGAGAGAGAGATCTACACAAACCATTCACCTCTCTTCCAGAGCAATCAACTAAATACATGTCTCAGCCTCCCTTGCAGGCAGTGCAGCCATGCAATGGATCCTGGCCAATAGAACACTCAAAGTGGGCACAAGTAGTGAACGTGAATTCCAAGTCTGGCTCATGTCATTGTCTTGTACAACCTCAGTTACCGCTTCTAAGCTGCTGGGAAAGTTCTCAAGGTGCTGGAGGAGCATAGGACATAAAATGGAAAAGGCCTGGGCTCCCAAGAGACCACAAGGAGCAGAGCCACACAGGAAATTAACCTGACCCGGTAGACCTACAGTGGGGCACTTGCACAAACAAGAAACAAAGGCTGAGGCACACAGTGGTAAAGCCTCCTGACTCACGCGAGGACTACTCCCTCATAGGGCACATCTATTCTCTGAGCCATTTGCATCGCTTCTGTTTAGAGGCAACCCCCAAAACATTTTTAAGTTTCAAGAAAACATGGTGACCTCTTAACCTGTGACTTTTAAAAACGATTTATTTATCTTGATTTCCTGTGTGCATGCAGGTTTCGCCTGTATGTGTGTACTTTTACCGCATGCGAGCTTGGTATCCTCAGAGGCTAGAGGGTGGCTTTATATAGCCTGAATCTGGGGCTGTGGAAGGTGTGAGCTGCCATTGGGGTGGATGGGAGCCTAACCCAAGCCTTCTTCAAAAGCAGCACGTGCTCTTAACTGAGCCATTTCTCTGCCCCAGACTTTTAAAGCAAAACCAAACCAAACCAAACAACGAGAACAACAATGAAAAAAAGAATTTAACAACAGCGAGTCACTGTCTGGCTCTCAGGTCACCAGAGCGCGAATCCAGAGGGAGAAATTCACTGTCGTACATGGTAAGAGCTGGATATTCTGTCCTTTCTTTGTATCTTTAAAAAAATTTCTCCTCCAAAGCCAGGGCTTTGGGGGAGCCTAGGCAGTTTGGATGCTCACCTTACGAGACCTGGATAGAGGTGGGTGGTCCTTGGGCTTCCCACAGGTCAGGGAACCCTGATTGCTCTTCGAGCAGATGAGGGAGGGGGACTTGATCGGGGGAGGAGGAGGGAAATGGGAAGCGGTTGCGGGGAGGAGGCAGAAATCCTTAATAAATAAATAAATAAATAAATAAATAAATAAAATTTCTCCTGTCTTCCCCATCGCTGACTGAGAACTCAGACCAACGGCATTCTGGATTCACTTAATGCAGGGCCTGACGGTCCTGCACCACCAGGGGGCAATACTATATAACAAGCAAACGCAGATCGTCAGTGTTGTCAGAGAGAAATGGAGGGAATCCTCCGGCAGGGACTCCGGCAATGTGGTCCTTGGGAAATGGGAAAGGGATAGCTAAGAAGGCTTCCTCGACCTCCGGCTCCCACTTCTACCTCCTCTGCCATTCTTCCCAGAGCTGCCCCTGCCTGTACGTTTTCTGCACATATGAAAACTCCACAGCAGGAAGGTCCAGCTGCATGAGGCAAGGAACAACCGCGCTGAAGCCACCTGCCGCGGAGACATCTAACACATAGCTGTTGGAAAACGAAAATACGGAGGGCAGAACTACGGGCCTGCGAGACAACAGTTTCTTCCACATTACCCTGTGGTTTCCTAGTAAAACCGAGGGCTGTGAGTTCTGCTTCCTGGAATGGGAGCTTACTTCCCCTAACCCCCATAACGAGCCCTCGCTAAAAATACTTTGAGAAAGTTCAGCCTGTTTAACAGCTGCAAAGAGCAGCTGAAGGTTTGTAGAGCAAGATGGAGGAGAAACGGTGAAGGAGCTCTAGCTGGTCCCAGCGCTGGCAAACATGGCTCTGGAGGGCCTTGCCTTTCCCTCGTCTTTGCTAAAGCTAGCCACCAAGTCTATTCCCTTATTTGGCCACTTCTGGCTGGCTACCAAGGTGTAGCTATCAAAGTATTAAAGTCCAGAAATCAAAGCCCCATTTTGACCACCCTAACTAACAACAAAATTAAACCCCTCATTTTAACACGGGCTTCCCCTTTTTATCTTTATAAACCAGCATTTGCCTATGGGCCACACCTGTTTCTTCTCTATCCAGAGGCAGTCATTTGTCTCTCTGGGGCAAATATCCCTTCGCCCTCCCCTTGTTCCTTTCCCCATCTTCCTGGTCCTCTATCTTCTGTCTCTGTTCCTTATCCCTGCACTCTGTCCCTATGGGGCAAACAAACCTCCTTAGTGCTGAGACCTTGGTCTTGAGGTGCCTTGTGCCAATACTGGTCCTTTCAGATGGGGAATTCAGAGTTCAGGGTTAAGCAGAGCCTTTGACAAGCCCTCACTGGCTCACGGCCCAAGATACCCCAAACAGAAGTGCATCAATGAGCAGCTCGGATTTTCAATTGGGATCTCTGAGTTTGGCTCCAGAACAAGGGGATTTGGGGGCAGGTAGCCCGAGGTAAAGGGTTTGACATGCGTGCAGGAGACAGGATCTTAAGGGAACATCACAGAAAAAGGAGACAAGCAAGACAAGGAAGAGAAGAGGCAACAGAGTTTAGACAAGGAAGATGTAAAAATTCTAATATTAGACCAAATAGATTCCAAGATGTGTTATCAAGAAGAAGGGTGAAGGTTTCTAACGGTGCGGCACAGTTCATTATGACATCACAGTCCCGATCTGTCCATAGCTAAGACATATATAGTGTTAACACATTCATGTGCAAAGCATGTTATACATAAAAGCATGCGTATATGTACATATATATAATGCTAATGTATCTAAAGCCACAATCATAACTGCCAGAACTAAAAGAGATTGGCAAATCAACAGACAAAACGGAAGACTCTCACACACCCCACTCAATACCTGATTTAAAAAAAGACAAGAAATAAGGACATTGAAAATTTGAAAAATATAATTAATAAACTTGACTTAATTGATATATAAAATATAATCCCCAGTGATAGTAAAATGCAAACTATTGCCAAGTGCATATGAAATTTTAATAGAAGAAAGCCATATGCTGAACCAGAAAGACTCTCAACCATTTTCAATGCTCATGTGATCTGTTGAATAGTGTCTGCGTATAATGGAAGTAAGCCAGGAGTAAGCATCAGAATCCTGATGAGCCCAAACGTCAGCTTTACAAGTCACCTAGACTTGGGGGCTGGAGAGCAATTAAAAGCACTCGTTGCTCTTGCAGAAGATCCAGGTTCGATCTCCAGCGCCCTCGCGGCTGCTCACAATCAACTGTAACTCCAGTTCGAGGGTAGCCTAGGCTACAGAAAATCCATTTCCAGAAAGAAAAAAGAAAACGGAAACAGAACTGGAAAAGACACTAGAACAAAATAGGAAAGCATGCAATCTTAGCAATTTAATTGGGGTAACTGAAAATTCAATTGAAGTGAATTAATTCTGGGACAAGCAAGTGACCAAACTGACACAAGAATAGATAATTTAAATAATACCTAAGAAATAAATCCTGCAATTCAAACCTTCCCACCAAGTGAAACTCCAGACGGCTCTACTAATTTCCACCAAGTTTATATATAGGAAATGAATCCAGTACTACTGATCCAATATAAAATCTCCCAGAAAACTTAAAAAGGAAGGAGAACAGTCATCCAAATTCTATTTTGGGCAAGTAATCTTGAGGGTGTCAATAA